AAAAACTATGAAAGGGTCACAGATGTAGCTCCCTGAGAAGGTCCACAGTAAAATTAAAAAATAAATTAAAAAAAATATATATATATGTTCACTCATGTTGATGTACCTTAAATTTTGGACATTTGGGTTATTTCAAATATTTCAAGATATGTACATTGCTGTAAAGAATAAAAGAGGTTGTAACAAGTTATTTTATTTAAATCCTTGCTGAGGTAAATCACCTCAGGAGGATAACGGGTGTAAAGGATATTTAACTATGGGTCTATGAGATACATATTCATTTATGCATTACCATCAAATAACACACTCCTTGTTATATTATTAAATATAGGATAACAGCACAAACTCATTGATTATTTGCTATGTCCCAGATATTATTCCTGGGGTTTTTCCATGGATTATTTCATTCACTTCTGACAAGAACCCTATGAGGGAGGTACTATTTTTATTAGCCCCATTTTATACTTTAGGAAATTAATGTTTAGAGAAATTGCCCTACATTATGGAGTTCTAAAAAAACACAGGCAGAGCTTCAAATTTCTGTGACTCCAGTATTTAAACTTTTTACTTTCGTGTATATCTTACAGTTACAGATATATATGTATTTTTTACAAATACTATGTATTTTAGATATTATATCAAATTATATTTTAGATATTATAATATATGGTATAATTTCTTTTTCTGTAGAAATAATTTTCAAAAATGTCAAAGCAATAAACATATTAATCATTGCTAATGCTATATAAGTTGAATGAGTGTTTAATTGCATAGTGTATATGTGCATAAATTATAATTATTAAAATGACATATTTGTTAATTTACAAATAGAAAATAAGAAGCAACTATTAAGGATATTCATTATAATGATTATTTGAATTCTTATTTATATATAATTATTAAAAGGGAAATTTCTAAGTGTTTTTAGAAACTTTAAATAAAGCATTATAAATAAAGCGCACAAATCATATTTCTATATTCTAACAGAACTGCATGTAAAGTGTATTATATTCTTAACATTTTACAATTAGGATGATCATATATTTTATCTATTAGATCAGAAAGAACATTTTTGAGAGCAAAAAGAGGTAATGGTAATAAGTACAAAATGATCCCAGGCAAACTGAGCAAAAGGTCATCCTACTTGAATGATAGTCCCATTACTTCTTCTCTAACCCAAACCTACTGGGCAGACTCCAGAACAAATTTTAAGGAAGGAGTGTGGAATCCTAGGCACAAAAGAAAAATTGATAATTAAGACTGGGTTTCATCTAATTTTCTTACTTATGTTTCTGAACTTTGGGTTTTTCATACATTGAAAGAGAAAGAAAGAGACAAAAGTAACACTTTTCATCTCTTAGTGAGATGAAAAGGAATAAATGAGAAAATGAATATAATTGTTCAGTGTGCACTGCGAAGTCCTTATACAAATCATACCCAGATCCACACTTGGGACAAACATTATTCTAAATTCTAAATGAAATAAAATCATACAAAAGTTACAAAATATAGAAATGCATTTCTGTATATAATTTTCTTAGCTCTTTCAAAATACTTGTACATATAAAATATAATTACTTATGTCATAGATTTTTATAGTGACTCAACTTATTTACCTAAGAAAATGTAGCTAATTTGCCTAAAGTTACAACTAAAGGGAAAAAAATTTAAAAGTAATTTTGAAAATAAAATTATATTAATGGCAATTATATTTAAAATTATTTCCATAAAAAGCAATCTTCATAAAAGTTCAGTATTTAAAAATTAGAGAGAAGCTCTCCAGATATTAACAGACTTGAGAAACATTTTGGCTTCCAAATTGAATTAAATTTTTGAAGTTTATGGAGAAAATCTCTTGATTTGAATTAAAACTGTGATCATTTTCCATCATTATTCATATTTCAAATTATTCTCCAACAAACACCACAAAGGGCTGCTGCTGCCAGAAGTGCCCAGATAAACTTAAGATATTCAGCTAGGAACTTACTAGCACCCTTTCTCAAAACACAAGTTTTCCTCAATATAGGACTAGAGTTGTATTCAAATCTTTTAACAGAATCATTGAAAGGAAACAGGAGGAATATTATAAAGGCAGACCTGGTCTGAATCCAGAGGCAAGCACTCTTACAGCAATGCATTGGAGTGATGCCGGAGGGAGAAATGTTTTTTGCAAATGAATATAGTTCCAAGGTTCAGTATAAGGTATTTAATTCCTTTGTCAACATCACCAAGGCTATAAGTTGAGAGTTATATCTTTAAAAATGTTCTTATAATGATGCACATATAAGGAACCATAAGGAGGCTTATTGCCTTCTTTTATCATATTTTAAATGAATGCTTATTATTAATACCTAATTCTCTTCAAGGCCCAATTAATACAGATGACAGTTAATGTTTCAAGTTATTTTACATATGTTGGTATAGTTTGAAAGTGATAATAATTCTGGTACTCCAATGTGATTTTAGTTCTCAGATCAAAAGAGTTTTAAAGAACCACATTTAACAAAATTATTTGGCTCATTTGGAAGAAAGTGGAGATGTTTCTTCATGGTAAATATATCTGTTTGCTGTGGTTAAAAATCAGTTTTCTTACTTTATTTTCTATGTAAATATATGGAACTCAGACATTTTCTGTTTGCTCTTGCTTAACAAATAAATGTAGAAATAATTTGAGTCAAATTGTGTAAAACAAAACAAAATTATTATAATTTTCATTAAAATCATGAAAGTTTAAGAATACAACTTTTAATGCTATTTCCTAGCCTTTCCTCAGATAAATGTAATTGTGCCATTCTATATGAATTTACTTTTGTCTCTTACTTTACCGTTTTTTGTGTAACACTTTTAACTTCTGCTTTTATATCAGATGAGATCTGCATCTCTGAAAAATCTGCTTTAACAGCTAAAGTATAAGACTGTGTTCAAAACTGTTAAGTAATAGATGTTGTTGAATCCACCACCTTCTTTTAGCTAACTGTTGATAACGTTCAGTCAGTAAGAATACCTTTCATTGAACTGATTAGTTGCCTATGACTAGAAATACTGTACTAGCAGTGAAGACTGGAGAAAGAAGATAGTGGGAGACGTTTCATCCCTTTAGGAGATAGGAAAGGGTGCTGCCCTTACCTACCAGTAGACCTGAACCTGCAGAATGTACATTTGTTTTGCTTAGAGTCTGCTTATAGTGTTAGCTATTGTGTAGATAATTGAGTGCTGGGCCGTACTTTATCTGCTTAGGGACCGTAGCATGAAGTATTTAAATCTGCACACAGAACAGGAAAATATATTGTTCCCGTTATTCGAAGAAGTGCTTCCAATAGAAATATAATGTGAGTCTCAAATTTAATTTTCAAATATCTGGTAGCTACACTAGAAGAGTAAAAAGACATAGTTAAAAACAACTTCAGTACTACATAAATGTGACAAATATATCTAAAATATGATTTCTACTTAAGTTACTAATTATATTACACTACTTTTTTGTATTTCTATTTTTTTATTCTTCAAAATTCAGTGTGTAATTCACACGTACAGCACTTCTCAATTTAGAGTAACCACTTTTCAAAAATCTAAAAAGCCACAGGATGTCATAGATCTAAATATTTTTAAAGTTAGTACTTCTTTAAATATTCTACCATATTGAGAAATTTATGGGTAAAAAATGTGATTTATATGTAAATATGCTATGTGTGAGACATTTAAATTCAGCAGTGGAAAAAAAATTGAGACTTTATGGTATTAGTTAGTGCAATATTATTACTAAAAGCCCATGTCAGAATGTCTTAAATTTAAAATTAAACTAAGACAAATATTAGCTAAGTAACTGCAAGCAAACTATCCTGCAAAGACTCAGTTAATAGACACGATAATGATACCTACCTCATCAAATAAGGTCATTTACGCAAAGCATATGGAAAAGTGTCTACACATAGTAAGTTAGCATAAAAATGTAGTTATAGTCACTATTGTTAGTTGTATCTATTGTTAGCTTGTCCCACCTAACCGAACTAGGAATTATAGATAGTGAATTTATGCAACTGTTTTAGCAGTATGGCAAATACATAAATTCATTTTGAGGATTATATTATGCTTTGTAAGTTATAAGTTAAATGTTACATAAGCAATAGAATTTAATTGTATTTTTCAAGACATACAAATGACAAAATATCTCTCCATTTTGAAGACCTGTGCTACATTGTTTTAAATAGAAAATATTGGCCAATTATTTGACTACATAATTCTATGTCAGAGACAATCCAGTTTTACAAAATAAAGAAAAAGGTTTACCGATTCATTTTCTATTACTGTTTCAGAACAAATAGGAAATAATTGACTGAAGTTACAATTTTACCAGTAGTTACAATTTTACTTTGGCCGACTTCCACAAAATTGTGGTCCTTGATACCATGACTTATCGGAAGAATGCAAATTTTATTTAATCGAGGAAACAATTACACCTTTCACAGAGGTAACACAGAAATGTAGTAAGTAAAATTTTACAGTTTTTAATCAAAAATCAGATTATTTTATAAAAGATAATTTGAAAGTTTATAAGTGTATTTGTTTGCATTCTGCCTTGTTAGCTGTGCTCTTAACCTTCAATTTTTCTGCTACTGAAATGACCAGATAATATGGGCTCAACAACAGGAGGAATGACATCTCCTTATTTACGGGCTAATGTCACTTTAATCAAGCTCACATGGACCTGTTTGCTCTCCACTCCTACAGCCTGGAAGCCCCAAATGCCATCATTGCTTTCTATAGAAGCAAATATGATAAATAGAATAAATTGAATTTTATTAACAGATATCATCACCACCAACATTTACTGCATACTACTGCAGGGAATCATTACATTGTGTGACTCTGTTTAAGATCTACTTAATTTGACAACTGGTACACAGCAGATTAACCTGTTCAAGTAATCATTATTACTTAAAATACCTGATAGTCAAACAGAAAAACCACAAAGTAAAAGTTTAGTAGCATATATTACTTACGTTCACAAGTATCTCCTTTTTGTTGGAAGCCCGCTTTGCAGATACATTTTCCAATGGGCACTAACCATTCTCCTTCTGCACTGCAGTGCATCCTGGGGGAGTTTTCTGCCTCTTCCTCGGCACTGCTGACACATGTCCCTCGTACTTCAACTAAAGAGGAAAATTCTGAACCAGTCACTGTATCTGGAAAGATAGCTAAGTTCTCAATAATGGACCAGCACTTCTTGTAATATACCTTGACAGAAACCAAAGCAATGCAAGCCCCTACATCCTGAAAGGCAAGATAGAATCCCTTTTTGGACAAAGGTCCAATCTCTCTCACCTCAGTGTTAAGCTTCATCTTTCTTTCACCAAGGTCACCTTGGGTAAAACTTTCATCTGCAGCAATGGTGTCTATTTTTACGTAGAGATTTTCTCTTATATTCCTGCCAGTGTCGTAGTCTGTTTCATAATAGTACAAATTAAAGGTTTCCTTGCAAGTTCCCAGTACTCCAGGAAGACTATTACAATCCCTCAGGGTGAATTTCAATTCTACAAAAATCCTTTGTGCATTGCCTTTCGAAATCCAGTTAGTCCGCAGCCAGTTGTTTTGGTTGGGCTCCATGACCTGGCATACCTGGTAGGTTCGTATAGGAGTGTAATTCTCATCCAAACCACTAATTTCTTCCCACTGTAAAATGTTTAAAAAGTTAATCAGTTATTTAGTAAAATATAATATTTTACTTTACAAAGTACGGGAAGAATCTTTCTAAGACAATTGTGGATGTTTGAATGTTATGTTATCTCCCATTCTGGCAAATAGCATACGCTAATAAGAAAAAGGTAAAACGCCTAGTTCAGCTTCATGTTGCTGGTGAAATATCACTTATGCTACTTGCATTGTTTGGATATTTCTTTTCATTTAATATTTACCTGTGTAATATCATTTCATTTTACATGTTTGCATATTGTCTATTGAGATTATCATTTTTATAATGTAATGCTCACAATTATTTAAAAATACCACTTAAACCATAATGCATGGCAGAATTTCTGGTACCTCAGTTGATATTTTGAAATGTCCCCGATATACTTAATCTTAGGAGATTATCTAAAAACATGCAGAAGAAAAATATCAAGAGTAATGCAATATTTTATAATCTTTTCAAAATGAGATGTAAGGGAGCAACATTTTTCAGAGCTAATTATTTATTCTAGTATTATATTGACTATTGTACATAGTGCCACATAAATATAAATAAGGAGATTTAAAAGTGAGATTCATCTTTATAAAAGATTTGTTTTCACTGACAACCAAACGTGCATGACACACCAGCAAGTTGGTTCTTATTTGGTAATAAGCTTCCTAACAGGAAATGCCTGTTGCTTAAAAATATCCATTCATATTTTGATATAATGAGTGGTATAACCAAACTCATACAATATTATTTTCAGAAAACACATAGTTTAGAAATAATTCCAAGGACTATTGAGCCATGTGTAATATTACTCCCTATTTGTTAGTAAATAAATTTATTTTGTCTAACATCTTTAAAAGGCTAAAAAAGTAGTAATTTATGTTATTTTTTACTATTCCTACAAAATTTCCCACTTAACATTTATGATATCATAAGAATGAAGTTGTCATTTACTTATATTCATTTCTCCAATAAGAAATACCAAAAATAAAAATATATTCAAATCCAAAGACACATAAGATGCAATATTTTCACTGTTATTTTTAAAAAGCAGATGGGAAATTAAAATGATGGTAATGTATTTTACTTGTAAAATTTGATTAAAGTATTAATTTCTTTAAATGATCTGTATAGTATTAATATCTACATTTAAAACTGGTCCTGAGAAATTAAGAAAACAAATTAGTTCAGAAATCTCTTACATGGTAACTATATAACATTTATTACAGTTTTATTATACCAACTTAATAATCATTGAATATCTTCAGATATAGTAAAGAACCATTTTTCATTTTCTGCTTTTACTGAGCACAGACTTTGATTCTGACTAGCTAGTAGAATGCACATTTCTGTTTTTTCTTTCTTTCGTTTCATTTAGCAGCTGATAGTCTGTATAAATGGCATGCAGCCAAATATATTCAAATCCATCCATTTGGACAGACAGATTCGGTCTCCTAACTAGATTAAAATTATTAAAAGAAACAAAATTAATAACAATATCAACTAAAAAAGCAGAAGCCCCAAAGATAAATTTGATCTTTATGACAATTCCTCAGTTTGACGAAACAAAGGTTAATTATTTTGAAGGGGTATATCTCAAAAGTTTCCTTATACAACTTAAAAATTATTCTGTTGACTTTATGTAGTTTTACTACCTATGATGGGCATAAACATTTTAATTTGTATTTAAAATTTGTATTCCTGAGGAGAAATTGTCAAGAAAATTGCAGTAGAGGTAACAAATAGTGAGACTACATAAATATATTTAATATTTTATTACATCACTTTCTAAGACTGCAGTCATTTCCGAAAATGACTCTGTTAGGAAAGGCGTCTTAATTAGATACTGCACTTTTATACCATGCTCATCAAAATATTTTCCCCAAACAAACATATTAGTAACAATTTCCTTCTGTTAACTAGTCACACATGAACAAATCTGTGTCATCTATAGAAAATATTATTTATCATTTTCTAATATTATCTTTTGATTCCTACAGATACATTAGGTTAACTGTTAGTTCAAGATAGCCCTGGACTGATTAATGCCTATTTGAGTCCAAGATAACATTGACAGTCACAATTTATCATTCTATGCATTACATGGGAAAAATATTGCAATCATGTATCAGTTTACTTCTCTTCAAAGAAAAACCTATCCTCTATCTCTGTTTTAATTGATGGATGGTAGAAAATGGGTTACATCTGTCATTGGCAAGAGAGGTGTTTCATTTGTATCACAAATGTCTTTTTATAATGTATATTATTTAACTAATGGAAACCATTTCACTTTCAAGGAAAGTATTACATTCATACCTCAAACTCAGTGTATTTTTATATTTAATCTGTTAAATGTTTGGCATTTTTTCACAATTTATTGTGGCCACTGCAGATAACTTCAGAAAGAATTTCTCAAAAATTAATTTAATGAAAAGGCTGAAGACTTAAGCAAATTTTTCACATTTTGCACTCTTAAACTGACTTTCAGTTCATGATTTATTGATTTTATGATGTTGTTGTACTCCAAAATCCCTTTCAGAGTTCAGTTTTTCTGTTTGCAAAATCTGTTAGAGGTTTTATATCCCCACTTATATGTAATGTTCTTTTGATCTCAGATTTCCTCATGTGAAAATAAAGTTGAATAAAAATGGGATATGATCTCCTTTCTCAGAGCAATCTCCATTAATAAGGAACAAAAAAATCTCTCCTATGTCTCAATTAAAAATAAGACCTAAGACGGGGATATTAAACTAAGTATAAGGAATTTGTATATTTCTGAATATATGAAAAGCATTTTTCAACAGTTTTTAGGATTCACTTATAGTTCATTAGATTTTTATTGGACAACTTTCACGCATATTTATTATAGCAAGTTTTTCCTCTAATATGGGCATATTCTGCCATCACTTCTGATTAATAACAGCAGCTTATATGTGATATAAGGCTAGAGATTATAACTAATACTTTATGACAAACTTTATGCCATACTGCTGAACATATTATATTTTCAGTTTACTTTAGAGTGTATTCTACATGATGCTAAAACTATTTTTTAAAGAAAATAGATGACATACTGCTTTAAAGAATTACACACAACCCACCTGGTGATTATACTACAAAAGTATATGGCAACTAGAGAGGTTTTAAGTGAGTTTGTGAAAGGAATGTTCCCTGAAATTAGTTAGCATTTATAGACTGGACTCATTATTCCACTCGCAATGAGAACTCAAAAGACTATAGTTACAGGAATATTTTTTCCATTTCCCCAAATTCTAACTATTCCTTCTATAATCAGAGAACTAAATGTCTGGTGACACAACAAAATCCATAACAACTTATCTGGAACTATAAGTGTAAATGTGAGAATCTGAATAATTACCCTGGGGGGTGTCTTACTTGGAAAAACAAACGGTGAGAGGTACATTATGAGGAGCAACACATACCCCATTGGGCGGAGAGGAAATCCATTCCAATTCTGTCTGTTGTGCTTTAGAATCCAGCAGCAGTACTAAAAAAGAAAGTTTTAGTTTCAAATGTTATGTAGAAAATTTCAACACATCTGTAAATATTTTAAAGATGCCTCTGATCCACAATTATCACTTTATGACATGACATGTAGTTACTTCTGTAAATGAATGGTGTCATGCATCACAACTTACTCAAGTATATTCCAGTTTCTGAAGGAGAAAAGAGATGTTAGAATGTTAATATTTGGTATACTTTAATCAAAATAGTAAAATCAAGTTTTAGCTGCAAGAGTAACACGAAAGTGAGAGTTAGAATTCATAGGTGATATTGATTGTACAGTAATAGATATTATATTTTGGTAAACTATTGAGCTCTCCAAACTTTGTCAAATACAACAGCATGAACATATTAAAGTATAATTCCGATATCACTCTTCAGCCAGTCACTAGCTGGTAATATTCTACCAACACCATTTTCTGTTTCCACTTGAAAATTGGGAATTATTTTAAAAAAACTTACAACACATACTGTTTTCTTTTATGTCAAAGTGAATACAGAAAGGTTAAAAGCTATATCAAGTAACATTAACATAGGAAAAAATTGTCTACTATCTACAAAATATATTTTTCAATTGCTTACACATCAACTTTCAATTTTTTTATTTCTAAACATTTTATTGTATTCACTAATTCTCAACTTGGTATATTTTAAACTATAAATTGACTTCTAAAAACAGCCTAATTCCACTTTGTGCCATTACAAACATAATGCAATAAACAAATTTTTTTCAAAGTGTCAGAAATATGGTTCTTACTATGAGAATGTTTTAGTGTGTCACAGTAATACACATCACACTTCCAATCTGATGTACTTTATTGCTTTTTTGGACAATTACTTTCCTAAAGACCTTATTCTTTTGATCAAACTGGTTTCAGAGTTAAGCAAATTTTTGCACTTTAACAATATTTACATGAGTCTTATGGCATCGATTTGTATAGAAATAATTATGATATATTTTACGTATGTAAATATGTTTAACGTTAACTTCAGTCAAGGGTTAAAATATGTGGCTATCTGAGCTTTTCAATACTTAACGGTCCTAGTCCCTAGGGAGGAAAATGTACACTATGTGAGAGGTAATGAAAATGTGTTATGCTAAGAAAACAAAGGAACAGCTGATTCTGTGCTGGGCTCCTTCACATGAGTCAAAGTTATTTCCTGTAAGTGAAAAGAGATGGATATAGAGACATCAGCTTTTATTTGTTTTAGTATTTTACACTTAAATTTTCAGGGAGACTATGTCACAAAAACCTTAATCACAAACATTTGATTCCTCCCAATTACAAATACCACAGCAACCAGCATTTTAATTTGGAACACCCTTGGACCAGATAATTTAAACGTGAAGTAATTTTAAGTTTATTCCTGCCCGCAACAAGGGATGAATCACAAGGAAACTGGATTCCAAAGAATCTTCTTTTGATTCATTTATTTGTTTGCATAACTGACAACAGACAACTGGCTTTTAAATCCAGGTGACCTCCTTGGGTAGCATTTGAGAGTGCAATAAATTTACGATTATTATTTACAGCCCTTCCGTCACCGCTCAGCTCAGTCTGCTAGTGAGACCCAGGGACCAAAACAGGGCAGTGGTGGCAAAGAAGAAACTAACAAATTAGGACAAAACAGCAAGCAGCCGGAGAGCGCTTCATCAGGAGCAGCTCTCAAGGAATCCGCGCTTCTCCTCCGGAGGTCCGCTCTCCCTTCCCGCCCCGAGAGCAGAGTCACCCGCCCACCCTCCTCAGGCTCCGCGGAGCGGCCGGGCAGTGGACCCGGACTGGGGGTCAGAGAATGGGGGCTGGAGGGCTGGAGG